CGCCCTGCCCTTCCCCTCCCGCCCCACCGCCCTTGGACCGGGCCCGCGGCCCCCCGGGGGCCCCCCCCCCCCCCCCCCCCCCCCCCATCCCCCGCGCGGCCCTTCCCGGGATTAACGGCGCAGCCGCCGCCGGCCGCATCCATCCATCCATCCCTCCATCCCTCCATCCATCCCTCCATCCATCCACCCACCCCCCGGAGCATCCCCGGCCGCTCCCTGCGCACGGGGGGCACCAGGGCTCGGGGGGTCCCCTCTGTCCCTTTCCTTCCTCGCCGCGGGTCAGAGCCCCCCCCCCCCTTCCCCTCCCGGCCTCTGGGCCCCCCCCGGGGCCGCCGCATCCCGGGGCCGCTGCGGGAGGAGCCGCGGCCGCCGCCTCTTTGTCTCTCCCGAGGCGCCGCAGCGGCCCCGGGATGGGGCTGGGGACGAGGATGGGGACGGGGGGGAGCCGGTGCCGGGAGCGGGGGGCGCGGGGGCTCAGAACCCCCCGAGTCGCTCCCATCCCGCGATGCTGGTGGGTACCCGCAACCGGGACCCCCCTGGAACCGCGCCGGGGTCCCGGGATCGGTCACCTTCCCGCAGGACTCCCGGGGGGTCCCATGGTGGGGGGGGGACGCGACCGGGCCCTCCCCGCGCCTGACCTTGGCGGGACCCTCCGGGCGGGGTGCGGGATGCGGGATGTGGGGCCGGGGGTCGGGGCCGGGCCAGGCTGGCGCAGTGCGGGGCCTTGTCGCCCGGCAGCGGGATGGGGAAGGGCAGGAGGCAGCGGCGAGGGGCAGCTGGAGGGGCCCTGGGGATGCGGGAGCCGCGGGGCGACGAGCCGGGGGCGGCGGGGCTGCGGGGTGTGCCCTTGGCTGGTCGTGGCCTGCGCCGGGCAGGACGCGCGGCTGCTTCCCGGGGGGGGGGGTTCCCCCTTCCCTGGGACGTGTCCTTCCCCAGGCAGCCCTGTCCCCGTTCCTGAGCATCTCCTTCGCCGACCATCCCCTTCTCCCGGATGTCCCCTTCCCTCGGCATCCCCTTAGCCGAGATGTCCCCTTTCCCGAGCGTCCCCTTTCCTCAGCATCCTCTTTCCCGAGTATCCCCTTTCCCGAGCATTCCCTTCCCCGGGCTCTCCCCTTCCCCGGCCGCTGCGCAGCAGGACCCCAGGGTGTCCCTGCCCGCGGTGGCGCAGGGAGGGGAGGACGCGGCTTTGCTGTGGCTGCTCGGGCTGGCCCAGGGCCCTGGGGAGCTGCCGGGGACCCCGCAGCCCGGCCCAGCCCCGGCGGGAGGAGCGGACGCTGTGTCCCGGAGCCAGCCCGAGAACCGGGGCGAACCTCTGGGGATGCCGCCGCCGCCACCGCGGCTTCTCCCCGGTCTCCAAGAGCGTCCCGAGCCCCCGGCAGGGCCCGCGGAGGGGGCGCGGGGCCACCGCTGGCGCCCGAACCCGGTCGTACCCTTCCCGAGTTGCCCTGGGAGGGGGTGCCCAGCCCAGCTCGGTGGGACCGGTGGGGTGGGATCTCCCGGCTGGAGAGGGAGCGGGAATGCTTGGGCGTGGGAATGGCTCGGTGCGGGAATGCTCGCTGTGGGAATGTCGCGGTGCACACGCAGCAGGGTCTGGGCAGGGCTCCCACCTCCCGCTCGGGGGGTGGCCGCAGGTCGGGCCGTGGGAGTCCCCGGTGCCGGTCAGGACCCCCAGGTCACCAGTTTGGGGTGGCCCCGGGGTCAGCCCCGACCTCCCCGTGGCTCTTCCCCGGCCCTGGGGTGGCGGCCGTGAAGTGGGTGGGGGGCACGGCCGCTGTCGGGATCCGTGCCCGCCGTGTCCGGGGAGCCGGGCTGGGAACGATGAGGAAATTCCAGATTCCCGTGGCCGCGGGGAGCCCGGCCCTGGCGGTGCCCGTGCCCGCTGTGCCGCTGTGCCCCCGCCCCGTCCCTGCGTGGCCCGGGGGTGGGAGACATTGGGTGCCCTTTGGGGTCCCACTCCAGCCCCCGCTCCCCCCCAGCCCATCCCAGCTCCGGTGGGGCCGCTGGGATGGTGGGTCCCTGAGCGCTCCCGCTGCCTCTGGCCCCTCCCGACCCCCCCCTTCCCGAGCCGCTGCCTCGGCTCCGCTCCAGCTCCGGCCCCTCAGTCCGTGGTGCTCCCACCCGGCAGGTTCCATCCTCGGGGTTCCATCCCACTGTGTCGTTCCCATCCCACCGTGGCAGCCCCATCCCACCCCAGTGTCCCCATCCTGCCGTGCCCACCCCATCCCGCCCCACCCCACCAGTGTTCCCACCCTGCCGTGCCCACCCCATCCCACTGTGGCTGCCCCATCCCACCCCAGTGTCCTCACCCCACCGTGCCATTCCCATGCCGTGCCAGCCTGGGGTGTGTGACCCCCCCAGCCAGGAGGGGGTTGTTGCCCAGTGAGAAGGGTCCAGGGGTCTGCAGGCCGGGTCTCCATCCCAGGAGGACTCATGGCCCCGCTGTCCCTGTCCCCCCTGGATGGCCAAAGGATCCCCCACAAGGCCCCTGTTTGCCCCCAGAGAGGGCAGAGAATCCCAGGGTTCTTTCCCTGCCCTGCTGTCTGCAGGAGAGCAGCCCTGGCTATTCCGTGGGGTTGGGGAGAAGGGCTCTGCACCCCAACACCCTGGGGCTCTGCTCCCCGATGGGCTCTGCACCCCAACACCCCAGAGCTCTGCACCCCGACAGATTTTGCTCCCTGACACCCTTGGACTCTGCTCCCTGATGGGCTGTGCCCTAATATCCTGAGTCTCTGTGCCCCAAAGGGCTCTGCACCCCGATACCTCAGGGCTCTGCTCCCCAACACCCCGGGGATCTGCTCCCTGATACCCCCACAGGCTTTGCACCCCAAAGGGCTCTGCTTCCCGACACCCTGGAGCTCAGCATTCCAAAGGGCTCCCTGACACCCCGGGGCTCTGCACCCCAAAGGGCTCTGCACCCCAAAGGGCTCTGCACCC